GTAATTATTCTCTTAACATCTCCAACCCATTCCACTGGTACTCACTTCTTTTTCTGGGGGGAGGGGAGTCACACCCAGCGATGCTCAGGGGTTACTCCTGCCTCTGCACTCATAAATTACTCCTGGCGGTGCTCGGGGGACCATATGGGATGCTGGGAACCGAACCAGGTCGGCCGCGTGCAAGGCAAACATCCTAACTGTTGTGCTATTGCTCCAGCCCTTTGGTTCTCATTTCACTCCACAGTGTGAAGGGATATTTCTAAGCACCCTATATCAAGTTTCTAACTTTAAGACTAACTCTGAATCTTAGTATGGAAAAAAAAATCAGGTATTTTCAACTTGCACCTCAAATAATATTTTGGCAGTAGCTATATCAATGGCCATGGTTTTAAGAATGCTTCCATTTGTCTGGGTGCGTCTTTTTATTTTAAAGAATCATGTTTCAAACTCTTTTCCTATAACTTTCTGAAATGCCTGAGTTATATTCAACCAAACCAACTGGCTTGGGAAAACAAAACAAAAACAAAAATATTTCCAGCATTTCTAAATAGACTGGTTGTTTAGGCATACAGGTAATCTGGCACAATCTGTCTGATCATTCTCTTCAGGTTTCCAAGCATGTAAGTAAACAGGGAGAAAGGAAAAATAAAAGATCTCCGGGGTCAGATAGTGACAGTGGGTCAGCTGCTTGCCTTGCACGGGGCTGACGAGAATTGATACTCAGCAACCAATATGGTCCCCAAGTACACTAAGGAAAAGCCCAAAGCAGAATCAACTGTGGCCTGAAACCAAAAAAGTAAGTAACGAAGAAACAAACAAACAAAAAGCCAAGTCCTCCCACTCACAGTAATTCTTGCTTGCCCCATATTTCATGCTATCTCAAACATATTTCTTTTGAGACACTTGCAAAAATACTTGGGAAGTGATTTAGAGACAATTTCATTATCCTTAATAAAAATGAACACAGATAAAGAAACACACGCAGCCTCCCCTACAGATTCTGCTCATTTCCTACATACGGCCTGTTTAGGGAAAAGATTTTGTGTTCTTGGTTTGTTGCCACTTAATTATCAGTCTTACGAAAAGAGGATCATGTAAAGAGAGAAAGTCTAAATCGTGTCACACCATCATATCTACCTGCCTCTAATCATTTTTAAGAACTTAATTGATAAGTAGCAAAGAAGTGAATGGAAATGTTTTTAAAATTGACATTAGGAATGTTAATATCAAGAGAAAATATGTTTAAATAGAAAAGGCCTCACAGTAATACGATGTGGGTTATATCATTGGTTCATAGAATTCCCTACAGTATGCTCTACCAGTCAGCCTATCTTTTATTACTCGTTCATAAGACAGAGATAAGAACATCTTCAAAGAAGACCTCATGCACAAGGCACGATAAATTAATAAAATGAATAACAGAACACTGTACAATGTGAAGGATTAGTTCCATGTAAGGCATTATTTTTAAATGCAAGGAGGATTATCTGAACCCCACTGTGATGACTGAAATCGGAGGCTTGTATTCAAACACTTAGAATCAATAATATACTTCTACAGTTACTGAATAGACACTGGCTCTTTATATGATTATGTCTCCTACCAATGTTCCTCTCTCATCCTTCAACTAATTTCATGGCATTTTATATAAATTAATCAGATAGTATGTTAAAAAATGACTGAATTATACTCTTGTGGCATTTCTAGTAACAGGGAGATATAGATTTATATATTAGAAAAATAGGACATTTCATTTACCACTTTTTGTTATAAAACTCAATTGAAAAAGCATACTATCATATCCTTTTGATTATAATTTCAGTAAAGAATGACTTTGAGATTCAGTCAGAATTTTAGAACATAAGGATAAATACTAGAGTCTTATTCAAAGGAAAGAGGTCAAAATTTTAATAACAAGTTTCAAGAACCACATATATATGGAAAAATCTAATAAAATATATACTATATACTGATAATTAAAATAAAGCACAAAATAAATTGCATGTAAAAGGGAAGCATTTTACTAATGCAAATGCTTGAAAATATCTATTTGAAGTAAGAACAAATAATATTAAGATATCACTTGAACTTATTTGATAAAAGAAAAGATGATAGGTGAAGTTTTAAATACTAATGCAAAGGAAAAATAACTACTAAGGAAATTGTGCTATATTGATAGTAATTACCTGGGCTAAGGAGATATTCAGAGTATATTCAAAATTATCCTAATATTTGTGCTAATTGTTTTCTTAACTACCTGGTCAATAAAAGAAACATAACAGAGCTAGCTTTTCATACTGTCACAAATATTTTCTACTGTTTCTAACTGATTACTTGTGACAGAGTCTATTGTTTTTATTTTCTGAGACAAGGCAAAGAAAATTTTGATGCTTAATTTAAATTTTGTGGAAAGTACAGGATCATAAAATCAAGCATATTAGAATTGCAATGAACTAAAGGGGTAAGCATGGAAATGCTCTCTGATAAAATTTTTTAAAACCCCAATATGTTTTTGAATTAAATTTGAAAATAATTGTATGATCCTCTTGATGTGATTCCTGTCATTTGCGGTGGTGTTTTTTTCTTGGCGGAAAACTGTCCAATTGTTGAGGTTAGATTAGGGACACACATAAACTTGCTTTCCATTCTGAACACAGCCATGGAGTCAAGTTTAGATGCATCTCAAGAGCAAGGGCTCAGGGAATCTGTCTCCCTTGATTCAGGAACCTGTGAAGATTGTTAACAGTTCATATGCAGAAAGAGAAAGAGTGGAAGCACTATCTGGAGCAGCCCAGTCCCATTATTTATTTACTCATTTATGTAAGTTCTGCTAACTTGGGATAGTAATTTCCCTTTATTTTATGTTTCTAACATGAAACTTGATTCTTCTCCCTAACACTCTATCTTTATAGCTCTTATAATGGAGCTGTAATTGTAAATCTCTATTACAAGGAATCAAATGAGAAAGCAAAGACTGACACACTCATTTAAGCTGCATCATATAACAATGGCTCAGAACCCAGGAGTTTATGAATGAAATAAAGATACTTTATTTATTACACAGGCACTTGGATATTCACATGCCCAACACATCTGATACACTTAACAGCTAAGGAAACAGGATTGGAAGATGTCTGCTTGTAGGATCAAGAGAGAACTTTCACCAGGTGAAGGTGAATGAGTGCATTGACAATTTTTCCTTTACTTTCCTCTAAGAATTTCAAAGTCCACTGAAAGTTCTTATTACACTTGAAATAATATGTAACAAAAAACTGATCTACATTCCAACTGATATGCTAACTTAAATTTTGAGCAGTTTAAACTTTTATCACAATGCAACATATTTATAGTCATGCTTGAACAGATTAGGTTAGTAGCATGCATTCCATTCTGCAATATGAATATTGTTAATCTATTTCCCAACAAAAGTCGAAAGATGCCCCAGTGCATAGAAAAATACAAATCACTGTAGTCAATATATTATGGGACTGATCTTGGGACTTACACGGTGATGATGAAGTCCTGAAATGCCATGCCCACAAAAGCACATTAAAAAGTGGATAAACATATTTTACCAGACAACCCCTAAAAATTAAGTAATGAGGATTTTAAATTTGGGGGATGTTCTTGCTGTGTGCTTTGAACAGCGCCTTTCTGCTCACCTCCTTCTGGCTTGACTGGTCCATCAGACATCACCTTCCTGAGGGCTAGCTGGCTTTGGTCTTGGTTGCCATTGGCTGGTGGAGGCAGATTATCAGACTGAGTTCTTTGAATGGGGAGGACTCCTGCTATGCTGTGTCTGTGCTGCTTCCTGGCATGATTAGACTGACCGCTTTTATGTGCTGCTGTGGCAGTGTGGGTGAAATGGAAACCCAGAGTATGTATCCTCAGATGGAACCAGCTTAAATGTTATTCATGCAAACAGAAGTGTTCTTTTGCTCTATTTAAAGAAGTTGTGTTTTCAAATGCCAAAATGACACCACATGCACAGCACTAAAGGGGTTTTAAAACTGGCTGTTTCATTAGAAATGACTTTGGGAGATGGGGAGAACATTAAACTATCTCCATTGTCTGAGTAATGTCTTTTGACAGTAATGGTGCACCCACATTTTAAAAATCTCTGCACTTAATATTTTATACAGTAGTATCAGTCGGCTAAATTTTCATGTTAAATGAAAATACAATAGTTAATGACTGAACTGTTACATGTTTTAATTGATAAGCTGACTTTCAAAGGATTTCCAATGTTTAAGATCAAGCCCTGTAGAGTCTGTTATACAAAGTATGACCCAACAGAATGGACCTGACTGTGCTCTTTAGTGAGTGAGGTGAATTGCCTCATCACATATGCTTATATATATATGTCTTAAGTATTAGAAACCTAATTTTCTTCATAGTGTTTTTTTTTCTTCAAGAGACTAGAAAATTTCCCACACCAATTCACATGCATAATTAATGTTTAAAGTACTATTTTGAAGTGGCCTTTCCCCCATGGTTCCAGTACTCTGCCTAATTTTTCTCTTCTTGTTTTAGAGGCAAGAATCTCCTTACTAATATACTCTAAAGATTACTGTGTGTGCTTTTATTCCCCTTTTCTTTATCTTTTTTTTAATGCCTGGGGTAATGGCAGCCACTTGTGCTTATTATAATTCCTGTATTCTAAAGAATATTTAATTAAGCGCACACAAAAAGGACACATGACATTGCTTTGCCTGCAAACGTCACAGACACAGATACCAAGTACTATGAGCCAGGTTGGATGGATGGTGAAGACGAAGGAGAAACAGCCAGTTTTACTGTAGTCTATGTAAATTAAAAAAAAATCTAAGGAAGAAAGTGCATATTTATGTATTGGTACTGTTCTTACACAGACAAAAGGACAGAGAACAGAGTGAGCAGGGTATGCCAAAACAGAAAGCAAACAGAGAAGGACAGCAGGAAAGAAAGGCAACAGATGAACATTAAGCTGCCATGCTGAGGAATTTATTTGCGTCTTTTACTTGGTTGAAGGCGGAGTTGTTGCACTGCGGCCTCTGCAGCGGCTATAGCAGCCCCTGCATCTTCCAGGTGGGTCTGAGTGACGCTGGTTTTGCTTTGACTGCGAGATGGTCCATGAGAGCGGAGGTGGCCTTCGGATGAGGATTTCGAGCTACCAGGACTACTATGGGATTTCTCAATGGTGGGAACCTGCATGTCTGGTTACAAAAAGGGTGAAAGGGGGTTAAAGTTGCTTCCGCGTCCTTTTTCTCAAGTCTGGTCTACACATAATTAGAAACTGTCTAAGATTTATGTTAATGATGTTTCCTTTTTTGGCTCATTTTAGCAAAGGCTCGCTATACAGTGATATGATTAGACATTTGGAAAACAATTTGGGGAAAAAAGGCAAAAAGTATGAGAATCTTGAAAAGAGAGGAATGCATTCTAATAAGTTTTAAGTAAGTCATTATATTAGTTTATAATTTCACCAAAAAATTCTACCAATCTTAAACTAGATTAAAAAATATCAACTGGCTTACATTGCCACCAGAGGTTTAAGTAGAGAGGTGCGAGTTCTCAACAAAGGGTTGTAAGTGATTAGGAAATATCATATTGAAAGTGAACAGAATCATCAGCTAAGGCACTTTTTGAGAATATATTAAATATACATACATACATGCATTTATATATCACATCTTAGTATGGTAGTTATATAAAGGAAGGTCTCTGTGCATTGACCTTCCAGAATGCTAGCGAAGGTTTAGTCAATATGGCAGATGGACTTCAGAAATGATCTATAAAACTAATTCACAATTGATTTTAAGCACTCATTGAGGTGAGTGGTTTATTATAAAAATCCATTTGGGGGGTTTTATTCATTTATTTATTTATTTTATTAGTGAAACACCATGAGGTACAGTTGTTGACCTTACAAGTTTTTGTACTTGGGTTTCAGTTATACAATGATCAAGTACCCATCCCTCCACCAGTGCCCATTCACCACCACTAACCAGTAACCCTCCCACCCCTCCTATACCCCCCCATCCCATCATGCATCTGTGGCAGGGCATTCCCTTTTGTTCTCTCTTTCCTTTTGGTTGCTGAGGCTTGCAAAAGAGGCATTGAGTGGCAATCATGTTTGGTCTACAGTCTACTTTCAGCATGCATCTTTCATCCTGGGAGGATCCTCCCAACACCCTTTACTTGGTGTTCCCTTCTCTGTCTGAACTGCCCCTTCCCCTAGCATGTGTGGCTGGCCTTCAAGTCATGGAGTAAACTTATCTCGACTACTCTTGGATGTTAGTCTCCTATTTTGTTACTTTATGTTCCCCAAATGAATGCAATCTTTCTATGTCTGTCCCTCTCTTTCTGACTCTTTTCACTTAGCATGATACTTTGCATCTAGTACCATTTGTATGTAAATTTCATGACTTTGTCTTTTCTAACAGCTGCATAGTACTCCATTGTATAGATGTACCAAAGTTTCTTTAACCAGTCATCTGTTCTCGGGCACTCGGATTTTTTTCCAGATTTTGGCTATTGTGAACAGTGCAGCAATAAACATAGAAGTGCAGATGTCATTTCGGCTATACTTTTTTGCCTCTCCAGGATATATTCCCAGGAGTGAGTGGTATTGCTGGATCAAATGGGAGCTCAATTTCTAATTTTTTGAGAATCGTTCACACTGTTTTCCAAAAGGGCTGGACCAGTCGGCATTCCACCAGCAGTAAAGGAGAGTCCCTTTCTCGCCACATCCACACCAACATTGGCTGTCACTGTTCTTTAGGATGTTATAATCAGGATGAGGCCTGATTTTCACCTTCCAGAATACTCACTTATTAAATTCATAACTTTGTCATATGCAAAGAATCACTTCCCAGTTTTATGACTAAAGGAGAGTAAAAGAGAGAATGGCATAATACTCAGACTCCAAAAAAAGATTTATATTTAACATTTACAGCTTTATATCATAGTTAAGATATTATATGAAGGTTCTATCATATAGGCAGTAACTCAGATTATAGTGGATATTGATGTCCTATTATAGAAAACTGATAATAAAATTACCAAAAAGAAAGAATTAACTATGGTGGCAATGCTGTGTATACTGTCAAACTCAAAATATAACATTACTATTTTAAAAATAACAAGAATAGTTTCAAAAAGAATTAGAGAATTACTGTGAGTCAAACATTCAGAAATGATTTAAGTAGATTTTGGTATACCAATTGTTTAAATAACTTGAGAGAGTATTTTATTAAAAGTTAGAAATAATGCAAAATTATATGAGTAAGACAAGATGTTCCAAAAAAGGAATTCAAACAATTAGAGGAAGTACATTTAAATGATAATGATGATTATCTCTAGTCAGTGAATTGGTGAGGAATTTTATATTTTCCTTAAGAAAGACCAAGACATATTTTATAAAATCACATTACTATGACTTTTAAGAGCTCAGAAAAGACCAATAGTTCAGTCTGACTGCTCCCATACTTCAGTTAGAAAAATCGAGAATAATAAATGAAGATAAATCATAAACTTAATTATGGTCTGATCTAAGACTAAGTCCATTTCTTCTAATTTCATGTCTATTATGCTTTGTATGGTATGCTATTATAATCCAAACAATCAAAATTTAAAGTACCATGAAAATATGACTGGATAAAAAAATTGAGGAGTATTATATAATGGAATATTACTTAGCTATAAGAAAAGATAAATCATGCTGTTTTCTGCCATGTAAAAGGAACTAGAAGGTCCAGTTCTATTTAAGTAAATCATGCTAAGCGGTCAGTCAGAAGGTGAGAGATGTATATGGAATGAATCCATCATATGTGGGATATAAAGAAACATAGTAAGAGAACAACCAATGGCAAAGGCAACAGAACTGGTTGTTGAAGAGACAGTGCAGTAGGTAGGTGCTTGTTTTGCATAAACTGACCCAGGATTAATCCCTGGCACCACATATGGTCCCCCAATCCCTGTCTAGAGTGATTCGTGAGCACATGGCCGGAGTAAGAACTGAGCTCTACTTGGTATGGTACCAAAGCTACCACCCCCCGTTACCTCAAATAAAAACAAACTGGGAGAGTTGTTTACCTATGAGGGGAAGAGTGGAAATGGGAGGGATTCTTGGGACATGACGAAGAGAAACAGACATTCTGGTGTAGACTATGGTGATGGAATGATGTGTGTATGAAACTATTCTATAGTACTGTAAATCATGGGGCCTCCATAATAATGAAAGAAAAATGTGTATTCATAGACAGTTGTATGTGAACAAATAGACAAGATATTTTTCTACTTAAAATATCTCCTACCCTTGGATGGGTCAGGGAAGATACCATGGCTTCTACTTTTGATGACAGATGGCTTTGGGGACTGCTGACTGCTTTGACTGGAATGGGACTTTCCATGATCAATGCTTTCACTCTGTTCTTTGAGAGGATACCACCTAGGAGTGTTATCAAGATGAGATGTGCTAGATAAATCAATCAAGACCTGCAAAAAGAATGCAAATAGTCAATGACATTTATGATTACCCTAGAATTCATCATTTACATTTTTCTAAGATCTGATATGTATCTAAGGATATAAGTCATTGAGGACATCTTTTTCTTGTTCTTCACCTACAATACTGTGAATAATATCCCATGCAATGCTATATAAACAGCTCACTGAACTGAATTATATAAAAACCTTTATTAATCAAATTCTTTGGAGATGATGAGAAATTTTAAGATTGTAAGATTCATTTTTTTTTATGAAATAAAAGCTATTTTTGTTATGTGTCTTCATGTATGTTTTGAATTTGGCTAGTATGTGACAATTGTTTGATTTTATTTACATGAGGAAGCACTGTAGCATTGTCCTCCCATTGTTCACTGATTTGCTCGAGTGGGCACCAGTAACGTCTCACAACAAGTTGTGAGACTTAATGTTACTGTGTTTGGCATATCGAATACATCATGGGTAGCTTGCCAGGCTTTGCCATGTGGGCAAGTACATCTCAGCAGCTTGCCAGGCTCTCTGAAAGAGGCGGAGGAATGGAACCCAGATAAGCTGCATGCAAGGCAAATGCCTTACCCGCTGTGGTATTGCTCCAGCCCACATGAGGAAAAAGATGGAAAAAAATCAAATAGTAATGTATTATCCTTATTAAAAATTTGCAAAATTTGCTATTTTGATATTGCAGCAGATAGGGCTTTTGCCCTGCACGTGAACGACCTGGGTTTGATTCCTGATATCCCATATAGTCCCCTGATTACCACCAGGAGTAATTCCTAAGTGCAGATCCAAAGAGTAACTCCTGACCATTGCTGAGTGTGAGACAAAAAGAAAAAAAAAAACCTGTTATTTTGAATACAGGCATATGGCTAAGAACGGATGATGAGCAAGTATTATGTCATGATTTCATCAGCAGTATTTTTTCTTAGCACTTAATAATTAAGCGTGAATTTAATAGTTTCTGGCATCTTAGATTTGATGAAATATAAATAAATTAAAAATAGGACAATGGGAATATACTCTAAGATCATATAAACATAAGAATTCAATACATGGGGACATGAGATATTATAACAGATAAGACTCTTGTCTTGAAGCAGCCAACTTTGGTTTGATCCCCAGCACTGCATATTGTTTCTTGAGCACTGCCAAGAATATACAGGAGCACAGACCCAGGAGTAATCAACAAGAAACTCCACTGTGTTCATTTCCATCAAAAGAATTCAAGTATTAGAATAGATCAATTTTATGAAATGGAAGAGTAAATCAGTTATAATACTATACACTGGAGAATCCTGTCTAAGATCAAGTTTAGTTCAAGTGATTGTAACAGCATGTAACATGCAAGGGAAGGTCCAGTGGATTGTTTCACATGGACTTTCTATCAAAGCAACTAATACTTCATCTTACAAATTAATTGTAAAGTATGCAGATTAGTAGAGTAAAACTATTTCTTAAATTGCAATTTATACACTCTTGGATTAAATTAGGAAAAAAATTTATCCACCAAAGAAATTTTTCCACCAACAAATGTTATAAAGTTAAGAAATATATTTCATAGCATGCTTTAGTTGGAGATTTGCAATGAAAACACAGGAAGATCAGACTCACCTCACCAAGGAAGTCATTGGAAGAAAATCGATCATAATCCCAGACCGTAACCTCCAGTGTTTTCTTCTTGAGCTGTAGTTCAAAGAAAAAATGCTGTCAATCCCAGTTCATCTCAGAAATTTCCATTGCATTTGTATGAGACATTTATCTTCAGTTCATTGATTTCTTAACACTTATGCAATTTCATAGTCTATAGATTTGATTCATATTAAATATCATATAAAATGTCAACAACATGTAGTTTAACCTAGAACTAAATCATAAAGTACCTCATGATTTTATAAATAAGATGGCAACTTTAGCCAATTTCTGTAATTTTCCCCCTGTGCCCCATTAAAAACAAAAATCAGACCATAATTGTTTTTCAATACTTGGAATTCATGGTCTGCAATAAAAGCCAAGGCTATTCAGATAAAATATTTGGCTTATATTTTTTGTTTTTGAAAATTGCCTAAATATGGTAGGGCTGTTTTATTTCTGTTGTTAAATTTAACTTAACCTGTTTTGTGGCCACACCTAGCAGTGCTCCTGCCAGTGTTTACTGGGACCATATGCAGTGCTCACACCTGGGATTGGCGGCATGCAAGGCAAGTGTCTGGTTAAGCACTATCTCTCCAGCACCTTAAATTATTCATAATCAAATTGAAACTCTTTAAAAGGCGAAATTATATATTTTATTTTGGAAGACAACTCATTCATAAATTATTCTTTATGGTTGTTGTCTTCCTATTTGATTTGTGTTCTTTGTTTCTGAATTCAAATAACTATTGAGTATTTTATGGTACATATTAAAGTTATCACATAAAGATATTCAGAAGAAACTACATTCATACTATTGGGCCTATCGTCAGGGATTTGTAGTGATATTTTTTCCTAGTGCTTGATATATTATCTTCTCTATGGTTTAGTTCCACAATGTCAGATACTTAAGAGTCTATATTTGCAGAAACAGTGAGTTCCTGAAACTTTATAAGGAAGGAAATTAATTTCTTTCACTGAATCTTCCTTTTGAGGATATTATTTATAAAAGTCAAACAACAGCCCACTATACTTGTACTATATGCATGTATAAAGTCATGTGACACACTTAAACTTATCAATGCTCTATGACAATTGAACAAGATGACAATCAATGTAACAAGAAGAAATGTAATTGCTCAAATTTAAATAGTAACCACAAGCTGGTAAATAGTTTCCTTCAAAATATAAGATGCATGGCCCTGTCTAAAGAAATACTAAAAATTTCACATATCAATGAAAAAATGTTCCATTACTCTTATTTTGATTAACTATTTGGTTTATGACAGTATGTAATGTAGTACACATTTATTTTTACCATATCTTTAAATACATTTTTACCGTATCTCCTGATTTCGTGTCAATGTCTACCTTTTTTACATGTATTTTACTCAATTATCTTGTGAAAATAAAATAAAAACAGAAAAATTTATGTGAATCATAATCTTTTAAAAATTTTGTCACTGCTATGCTTATATTAACCTAATCTACCACACAGAAAATAATCATTGCATACCTGTTCCATGGAGATACTTTTATAAATGACTGTTTGGTTCCACTCAGGATTAAGACTTTTTTGAACATACTTAGTTCGTCTCTTATATTCAGCACTATATTGGAAGAAAAGAAATAAATATCTTGATTATTCACCTTAACTGATAACTTCATAGTCAACCTGAAGGGCATGCAGGGTTTTTAAAAAGATAGTTTTTTTTTTTCAAATCAAATATCATTTCACTAGCCAGTCTTAAATAGTAGTTAAAATTATTTTAAACATTAAATTTGAATGCACAATAATAATTAAAAGTGTTATTTGCCTTTAGTTATATTTTCTCGGCAGTAATTTTTACAGAAAAGCTTTTAGGTCTGTGTCCTATGAACATATAATTTAGAAATCTTATTTTATGTTAAGTACAGGTGATAACTTTATAAACTCTGTGTTAATATCAGTATAATCTTGACTATGGCTACTCTTCATAGGTAATAATTTGGTGTTTTCTAATAGTTATTCCTCGTATCAGCAAAACCATATATTCTTTCACTTGAACTCACAGAAAAATATAATAATGGTTTTCACAGAGGAAAAAAAATGTTAAAGTCTGTTACTATAGGTGAAAGTCCAAAAACATTTGTTATTGATATTACTACATCACTGTCACTGTCACTGTCCTCCCGTTGTTCATCAATTTGCTTGAGCGGGTCTAGTAATGTCTCCATTGTGAGACTTGTTGTTACTATGTTTGGCATATCGAATACATCACGGGTAGCTTGCCAGGCTTTGCCGTGTGGGTGAGATACTCTCAGTAGCTTGCCGAGCTCTTCGAGAGGGGTGGAGGAATCGAACTTGGGTGGGCCCGGTCAGTTGCATTCAAGGCAAACACCTTACCCGCCGTATTATTGCTCCAGTTCATATTACTACATATGCATATTTTTATATATAAAATCTCATTAAGTAAAGCAGGACATTGAACTAGTTATAAAGATGATCTTAAGTATAAATTCTTAGTTTTATATCGATAACCTGTTACAAATAATAAAACAAATAAATATACTTCCTCATTCCTTACAAGTGGAACATTTGCTTTTATCCTTAATGTCTTCCACAGTGCCTAAGCATCATTTGAATCTCATGTACTACAAATTTAAAAACATTTCCAAAACTGATCCTAATTAAGTTAGATGAAACATCTAGAGCTACATCAACCATTAGTGGAATTGAAATTATTAACTGCTATTAGTCCATGTGACTACACAAAATAATTCTTTAATCTCCTTTTCCTTTATCTGATTTTCTTCCTAGGCAATTTACTTCTCAGGTCCTACTTAATGCATGAGCTCTGGTGGGTACTAATTCCTACAAACTACTTGTTTGGGGTCTTTTCACATACCTGGACTTCAAAAGTTACTTTTCTCTAATGATCTGGATTCTGATCTTGGATCTGGATTTATCTTCCCTCCTATGGGCAGGCTGACTCCTGTTACTTTCTTTCATTTATCTTACAGTTAATAAAGCATGAAAAAAATCCCCAAACTCAGAAAAATGAAGCACTGTTAGACCTGAAATACCTATTGTTGCTCCATTAATTTACCTATCTTTTCTATACATAGTTACTAAGAATCAAGACCCAGAATAACTACACACACTTTTAGACATCTGCAGTATATCTGCTCTCTCTCTCTCTTCACAATCACTCATATATAGGGTAGCAGCTTCTCCACTTGGCAGTTTGAAATCACTTTGGGTTGAGTTTTAACAGTGAGAGAAGGTGTATTCAGCAATGTTTCCTTATCTCCCTGATCTTCTTACCCAAAAAAGAGGGAGAGGACTGAGGTAAGGTTGGGTATCAGAATCTTAAAAATCTTCTTGGTAAGTCTAACGTGTGGGCAAGATTATGAGCCACTGTGTCCAAAGACCTCACATTTCAGTCACTGCAAAATTAATCCAGTGTTAAAACAAAGCGCCCTTTGCACTTGTAATCAATTTGAATAATATTAATAAAAGCATGATTTGGCTATTTTTTTATTCAAGATAAACTGCAAGTAATTTGAGGGAATTACAGATGCAATCCTGTAAAGAAAAGGGACTCTTACAGATTGTAGACTGCTGGCAGAAAAAATAAATCTCTACATATATTTTGAGATAAAGTAGCAATTGCATGTAATGAACTTTATATAATGAAGTTTAAATTTACATACACAAACACCCAGAAAACAAAGGAATGGTTTCAGAAAATTAGAAGGGCACATGTAAAATGTTATTTTTGGGGTTGGAGGGCACAGCCACTGGTGGTCAGAGGCTATTCCTATCTCTGCTTATCAGGTGCTCAGAAAACCATGAAGTCCCATGGGTAAGTTCCTGGGCCTCCTGCATACAGAATATAAAACCTGCTCATTGAGTTATCTATCTGTCAAGTCCCCAAAAATGATTTTATTTTTAAAATAATCAAAAAGCAATATAGCAGTGTCGAAATTTGGCAGAACTGAATGGCAAGAACATGTAGGTATTTTATATAATTTAAATGCTTGAAGTGTTTTGTAACAAAAATACAAAATTATTTTTGTAAACCATGTTTCCTTATATTTTATACTCTTTGATGCTTTAAATGATGACATAGAATAGATATATGTGACTACCTTGAAGTTTATAGCAAATTTTCAAATTTACAAGGATACCAAAGAGGTATTCTTAGAAGAAAAACAAGTTATTATGAGTTTTAAAGTTTCTGTTTGTTTTAGGCTTAGTTATTAGATGCTAAAAGCATTAGAAAATCATATCAACTCTTAAGATTCATGATAAAATAATCATTAGTATGTTGTCATATTTTTTGAATTATGAAAATTGGATGCATAAGTTTATAACAAGAAAATCATGCTATATTTTGTATTTTACAAAAGATTAGCTGCAGTTATACGTACTCTTCATAATTAATCATATTCAAAAGATTTCTTAGACACCATCTTTTCTTGATCTATAAATATAATTTTCAAATGTATATTTAACTATTTTATCTATATACATTTATTAGAGAGTATTGAGTGCTAACTCAATACTAGAAATCTACTCCACTATTGCTGATCCTTGCAAAATTCTCTTTATTATACTGATATATCATTATATATTTGATTCATGCTATTAAAATACTTATTAAGTACTTTACGTTCATTAAAACAATAACAGCTAATTTTTATTAAATGATTACTTCCTCCCAGAACATAACCCTAAGTTCTAACTCTTATGATAATTTTTTTAATCTTCAGGGAAAATAATAGGTATCATTAAGTATTCTATTTAATAATTACAGAAAATCCCAGAGAAATTAAGGTATTTACATGTGTTGGCAAGGTTGCATAACTCATTGGATCAGACTTCAAACACAGAAATTTCTTGTTAATTTTTTTGGGGGGGTGCAGTGGGGAGATGGTGCATACCCAGCAGTGCTCAGATCTTGCTCCTGGTACTGGGTTCAGGGATCACTCCTTTGGATGCTCAGAGAAGTTACATGTGAGACAAGCATCTTATCCGTGAACTATTGCTCTGGCCCCATTATTGCTTATTTTTAAACATGTTATAAATGATTAACAAATTTTTAGGCTCATAATACGCACTGTAGCACTGTCCTCCCATTGTTCATCGATTTGCTTGAGCGGGCCCAGTAACATCTCCATTGTGAGACTGGTTGTTACTGTGTTTGGCATATAGAATGTGTCACGGGTAGCTTGCCAGGCTATGCCATGCGGGTGAGATACTTTCGTAGCTTGCCAGGCTCTCCGAGAGGGGTGGAGGAATCAAACCTGGGTCAGCCACGCCGGCCACATGCAAGACAAACGCCCTACCGCTGTGCTATCGCTTTTAATATATCAGTTTTCTTAATTACAATCTTTATTACCTTGAGGTCTGGTTTATCTTCTTTACTAAAGTTCCTTATCCTCATTTTTACATTAATTTAATATATAATAAAATTAATATATATTCAGTTCACTTTAGTCATCCAATAGTCAAATATTACACAAGTAAGTTTTGTAGTTTCTTAGGGAAATTATGAAAGCCATAATCAAAAGAGCATTTTAAAATAACTAAGAGCAACTATATATACATATGAACATGTGTATGTATACTTATTTTTATTTAGAAATAGCCTATATTAATTGAAAAAATTAGATGTTCATTTGATGAGTGTCTCCATCTTATGAATGAGTTTGATTTTCCAATTATTTCCATAATTAAAATATTCATTGTCTTTAGGATTAATCGCAATATCAACACATCTTACTCCTGAGCCTGACTTTACTAGCCCTGGTAGACCTGTACTAATAGCACAGAAATCCTCTGAAATCCATTGCATTTGAATTTTCTGACACATGGAAATAGTCACACAGGCATTTTCCTCAATAATACTTTTTTAATAACTATCCTGTCCTGGTATAACTCTTCTGGACTAAAAAAATTAAAAGAATTCCCAAAATGTTTCCACATTACACAACTGAAAATTCTCCACAATTCCATAACCATCTCAAACTTTGTGGATTATCAAGTTGAAGATAGGTAAATGAGAGAACTCTTGAAAGTGAGTACCATTCAGGTTGAGAAAAAAAAATGTGAAGGTCATTTTTGTTTTTCTTCTCTCAGGGTAACATACTATATTCCCTCTTGGGAAGATTATGATAATGACATTATATTAGAACAATTAGGTTGTATCTAATAATAATAAAATTATTTTCAATTAGAAAAGTAGAAAGTCAACTAATCAAGAAGAGACATAGGGATTATACATAATATTTATATATAGCCTTTATTCTTCCTAAAATATTAATTTATTTACTTTTTTCACATTATTTGTTATTAAACAATAATTTTCTCCTAAGTCAACATGCCTTTAAGATAGTAAAAGATATTTGAAATTCAGTTATTTGATCCTGAAATAACTGAGCACATCTTTAAAATTTCAAAGGAAATTTTGAAAAAAGAATAGTATATGATGATTCCTTTTAATTTTGAAAATATTATCTAAAATATTGAATGTCTTTATTTTATTTGGCTTCCTTTATTAGATATTTATATACTTATATTTACAAATATCCTTTTATTAAAAATATGAGTTCAATAAAGACACAATAATTTTCAAAATTGCTCCTTGGAGGATGCTTTCTTTAATTTAGAAATTAGAATAGACCATATCCAATTTTATAAATTTCCTTTTACTATGTAATAATGTGGTTTGGACCTGTTCTGTGTTTCTTGAGGTCATATTGTGATTATATTCTCAGCATTAACTCAGCACCTGGCACAGTGTCTGACTGAGTCTGTGCTGAATAATCATTGATTCACTGAATTTTTAAAACAAGTTGTATCACTTTTAAAAAATCTACACAAATAAAAGACAGTGGCCTTCAATCTAGGATAGGACTTCCACGTATCGTGATAGCTAAAATTTCTTTCATTGAGTATAATCTCATTAAGGGGAAAATTTGCACTTTGCCTGACAGTGTGATAAAATAAAATTAAAAAAAATAAAAAATAAGACAATGAGTTCCCTCAGATATGCTCATTTACATTTTGAGCCAATTATCTACAAGATAGAGATATAGAATGCTTGCTATTAGATCATATCAGTTATTTAACAAATCATTTAAACATTTAAGCATTATGGGCATATTATGTTTTTATTAATGAAATATCTGTTTTTTAATATATTATCAAATAACTGATATGATCTAATAGCAAGCATTCTATATCTCTATCTTGTAGATAATTGGCTACCAAAAGTTTATTAAACATTTTACTAGCAATAATAGCAACTTCCATTTATTGAGAGCGTATAATGTGGCGACATTATACTTCTTTTGATTCACTAGTTAGTCCATGTATTAAGCCCAATTCCTAGAAGTAGCTATCACGATTATTATTGAGCAAAATCGGAGCTAATTTGAGAACTCTCACAGGTACTAGTGAAACAACTAAAAGTCAAACCCAAGGTCTTAAGGACCTTACTCATGGCCTCTACAGCTTTGCATGGCAGTAAGAATATTTTGTCATTATAATTCCTCCTCCTACTAAGAGCTGTCAAAGAGAGAAAGCAGATATGACAATGAAGCTATATTTAGATCTTCTAAATTGCCATCCCAGACTTCCCAAACTCATGTGTAAGAAACATTGCTTGTTCTAAATTTAATACTGTCCATCTATATCATAATGAAAATTCCCCTGCGCCCAGTCTCCCTGGATAAAAGAAGAGAAGTTCCTGAAAAAAAGTCATAACGTCTAATCTAAAGTGATAGTACAAGGCTTTTTAAAGGTGTGAGTTAGAAAATCCTCCCAACTGATGCCCCTGGAAATATTCAACCTTGCTCAACAGATAGGATGGCTGTGCTCTAGTCCACAGATTTGCTGCTTTCTGTGCCCAGCAGTGCCAGGGGCCTACCAAGGCCCCATCCAGCCAGTAGGCCCTGCAATGCCAGGGTTGAACTTCTGGGACCTGACACTAACTCCTGAAAAAGAGCTGAATTCACATGTACCTCTGAGAAACTGAATGGCTGCCTCTGTTGTTCAATCACAACTAGCAAACTTTGTCAGTGTCGAAATTTACTGTTTGCTATAATTACATGGCTTCAAGGTCATTAAAAACTCTGGACCATAGGAAGGCTGAGGGAATTAACCTCTTCTTTGAAATGCTTAAATAATTATCTCTTTTAAAAATCAGAAGCAATCTTCTTTGGACAACAGTTTGTCAGGATTAGTAAGGAAATGAAATTTTAGTGTCATAGTCATTGAACAAATCTTATACTATCAATATTCTGAGTGGTATAAAAACTCTCATCACCTTGTTGCTGTTAGTAAACATTTTACCTTCCCCAAAAGAGAAGATATCATTTATAGTACAATGAAATGTGCCTAGAATTGCATGTGGCTATATGTTGATAGCCTTAGCTGATAGGAAATGATACAGCACATGATCTATATCAGAGTTTCCTATGTACCATATTGGCTAACAAGTGAGGATTCACTGTGTTGCCATGAGACTAGAGCAGTTATATTGTAACATCTTTTTTTTCTTGGGTGGTTGGGGCACACCCAGTGATGTTTGGCTTGGTCTAGGCTTGGTTCTTGGGGAATCCCTACCAAGTTGTGGGACCATGTTGGGGATCCAGTGTGGCGCTGGGGATTGAACCTGGGGAACCTGAATGCTAAGGCATTATAGTTTGTATAAAATTTTGAGACAGTGGCTGGTGAGATAGTATAGACAGGGCACTTGCTTTGCAAACAGTTGGCCTGAATTTGATCCTTAGCACCCCACATGGTCCTCAGGAGCCTACCAAGAGTGATCCCTGGGTACAAAGCTAATAGGAAGTTCTGAGAATCATTAGGTGTGGCACACAAAAGCAAAACAAAAGTAAAAACAATTCTCTCACAGAATATCACATCTGAGAGAAAGAAGATGACCAGGCAACTACTGTCCTTGAAATGTGACATATGCCTACTAACAGACATCATTAACCTACTAACAGAAAATCATTAATTCCTTTTGAAAAGTGACTCTAGATTTTAAAAATTGCAATAAAAGATGTCACTGTCACTATCACTGTCCTCCCGTTGTTCATCGATTTGCTCCAGCGTGTAACATCTCCATTTTGAGATTTGTTGTTACTGTGTTTGGCATATTGAATACGTCACAGGTAGCTTGCCAGGCTTTGTTGTGTGTGCGAGATACTCTAGTTACCTTGCTGGGCTCTCCGAGAGGGGCGGAGGAATCAGACCCGGGATGGCCAGGCTGGCTGTGTGCAAGGCAAATGCCCTACCACTGTGCTAGTTGCAATGCTCATATGAGAGGCTAAAAATAGATTTTTATCAGTTAAAAGAAAAAACTGTAGCCTACTTTGCTATGTTTTGGTATTTTTCTACTCTACTATGTTCTAGTACAGACATCTGCTAAACTTATTTAGTACCATTGTGGTCAGAAAACTTGCTATTAATTCAGTTCAGTGGATATCATATGTAGAGGAAAAGAAATTATTAGCCCAAATTTAATTTTAGGTACAAACACAAAAAAGGTAAAATACAGATCTCTAGATATTACAGTATAGCTTGACACTAAAAGAGAACCAACTCTACCTTGCATTCTGGACAACCATGACTTGACTGCATTGAATCCAAGAGCGAGAGTGAAGGATATAGCAGGAAAGTAGAAAAGACAGAAATAAAAAAGTTAGGAATAGAAGAAGAAAATAGAGTAATAATAAATAGAATAATAATTAGAGTAAAAATTAGAGTAATAATATACCATAACACAGAGGACACAAAGAAGAAAATAGTATTAGAAATGAAGTGAAAATAAAATTTCAAACATGTGAAAATACCAAGATTAGTGTCCACTGCAATACTTAGTGAAGAATTAGGAATTAAGAGTAGCAATTTAACTATGTTTGGTGAAATCCAATCTAGCATGCATAGTTGGTCTGACAAAGGGCACAAGGATAGTTTGAAGTGGAAAAATCAGTTTTCATTTCATTTAATTCCCCATTCTTTCTTGTTCTTCACCTGAGAATGAGTGGATTAATTCATGTTGCCTGCCTGGCTTTTATGGCTATTCAAGTAAAATTTCCTAATTGAAAAAAAAGCTATCAAAAGCAAGATAGGTACTCCCAAATACAGTAAAGTATTATACTCCAGATTATTTAATAGAGGTAGAAAATAAAAGGAATGCTTTATTTTTAATTCACTCTATCAAATGGCAATCAAATTCATCCTGACCATGATTCCTTACTGTCTCATAAACTGGTCATAAATATAATATAATCACCCCAATTCAACGGCAAAATAAAGTTATCAATTTGCTGTTGCAGTCATTTTTTAAAAAATCAGGTTTAATAAAATAAGGTTTAAAAAAATCAAAGTTATAACTATTATATAATACCATACAATAATTAACATGAAACAAAACTTCTGAAGCTATGTAGCTTATTGATAGTCTTTATAAATTAAATCCAACAAAATAAAACAAGAACACTAAAACCAACAATACTCTTTTCATAATGAAATTATTTGAGGCAGAGAAATTAAAGTCTATAAACTGATTTTGATATATTTTTTGAGTAATATCTAATGTGACTAGCCTGACAAATTGAAAATTATGTCTCTATGTAACTTGGCTCTCAATATCAACAAGAAACCTGAATTTCAGAAACTGGTGATATGCTCATGGTAATATAATTAGTAAATGGAGATCAAAGTGCATTGTGTAACTAATTCAAATTTTGTTCAAATTAATAAACAACTGTCATGTAACACTTTCTGAATAACCTGTTGAGGTTTAATTTTTGGGTCAAAGGATAGTCAATCTTAGCATATATCTGTTCAAGTGCACTTGAAAAGAATATGTATAGTAGTTTATTTTTGACAGGTAAGATGTTCTACATATTTTACTTAGGTCTTCAAACCAGAGACAAAACATTTTGATATGGTGGGAAAATTAAGAAATCATTAAAATTTTAAAATAATTTTTGTCACATTAAAAAAAATCCTTGCATTTAAAAAATATACATTAAAATATTTGGAGCAAAACCCTACAATAAAGTAGATCTTTCTACTTAAAAAAATCTACTTGAAGGAAGCGGGTGTAAAAATAAAATATGATGGCCAAAATGTGATAATTATTGAAACTGAATAATATATATGTGAAGGGAGAATCACTATATTGTTTCTACTAAGTATAATAATAGAACATTTCTGAGTAAATTGTAATATTCAAATGCCACTCTTGAATTTAAATAAAAAATGCACAACACAAATAGAATCAATTATCAGTCTCAAATTCTTTTATTATGTCTCCTAGTATTGATTACTTATGCTTTCAAGTATGCACATAAACATACATAAAGAAGCTACTGACTAGAACATATTTTTAACAAAAATAAACAGCTACTTGCCAATATTTAAATATTGAAAAATTATTGTGACATTAATTATATTTTTATACTAAAACTCAATTTGTGAAAGACATTTTGGAATAGATTTTGGAATGTGACACTAATTGAAATCTATCACAAACAATTCCTTAGATGATAGTCAAAGTGATTGGTTATCTCACAAGTGACTTCCCAAATTGAAATACTGCTTTGCTCTCATGGAAGCAGATTTTATTATGATCACAGCTCTTCTAGAACCAGTTAGCCTTGCTACAAAATTTTAATGCCCTTTTACCTACTAGTTGGAAATAAATATGTCACATGGCAAAAACTAAGGAAAACATTAACATTTTTGAATAAGAAACTTTGAAATAAGAAAATAAAAATGAGACATCATTTAAACTATTGTATGTACTATTTAAAGGACATCATTTGTTTTTACTTACCCTCTTCCAGGAAGAAGATAGACTTTAACAAAAGGATCAGAATAACCATTGTTGTCTCTAGGAACAAGGTTTCTTGCTTGGAGTATATGTATTATAAGATTTCCAAGATCATAGTTGATTTGAAGCTTAAAGGGACAATAACATATTTTGTAAACATTGTTTAATTTTTAAGAAGCACACAGCACATTATCATTCAATACTTTACCAGTATTAATTTTTTTCTCACAATGTATGTCAATGTGTATTTTAATTTTATTTGAAACTGAATAGACCAGTGATTATATAATTTAATTGGGAGCTGCTGGCATATTTTTTTTTTGCTAATAAATGTCCTGTTTATTCTTTCAGGTGAAAGTCCTAGACTGTTTAAAATTCATTTAGAAGAAAAATTATTGAGATGACATGAATTGCATTTTTAAAGTAAAATTCTGCTTTGTAAGACATTAAATATTATTAATATTGGTTAATATAATTACTATAATGATGAAAACAAAAGTTTTACAAATAAAAAATGTCATCCACATTTTACCACTTATCAATAGAATTATTAAAGGTAAACTACCAACACCAAAAAAATATTTAAGAATAAATTCCTGAGCAGGAGAAGGGAGGGAGGAGAGCGAGGACCCCCAGCGAGCCCAAGCCCCAGCGCGCGTCCAGAGCCGGAGCCCCGCGCGGCAGCACACCGGCCCCTCCCATCCAGGTGGGTCGGAGGACCCGAGCGGAGCCCCGCCCCTGAACCCGGACGCGCGGCCCGCGAGCGAGCCCAGCAGGAGAAGGGAGGGAGGAGAGCGAGGACCCCCAGCGAGCCCAAGCCCCAGCGCGCGTCCAGAGCCGGAGCCCCGCGCGGCAGCACACCGGCCCCTCCCATCCAGGTGGGTCGGAGGACCCGAGCGGAGCCCCGCCCCTGAACCCGGACGCGCGGCCCGCGAGCGAGCCCAGCAGGAGAAGGGAGGGAGGAGAGCGAGGACCCCCAGCGAGCCCAAGCCCCAGCGCGCGTCCAGAGCCGGAGCCCCGCGCGGCAGCACACCGGCCCCTCCCATCCAGGTGGGTCGGAGGACCCGAGCGGAGCCCCGCCCCTGAACCCGGACGCGCGGCCCGCGAGCGAGCCCAGCAGGAGAAGGGAGGGAGGAGAGCGAGGACCCCCAGCGAGCCCAAGCCCCAGCGCGCGTCCAGAGCCGGAGCCCCGCGCGGCAGCACACCGGCCCCTCCCATCCAGGTGGGTCGGAGGACCCGAGCGGAGCCCCGCCCCTGAACCCGGACGCGCGGCCCGCGAGCGAGCCCAGCAGGAGAAGGGAGGGAGGAGAGCGAGGACCCCCAGCGAGCCCAAGCCCCAGCGCGCGTCCAGAGCCGGAGCCCCGCGCGGCAGCACACCGGCCCCTCCCATCCAGGTGGGTCGGAGGACCCGAGCGGAGCCCCGCCCCTGAACCCCGACGCGCGGCCCGCGGAGCGAGCCCTGCCAGAGAACAGCGCGGATCCCAGGATCCTGGGAGGGAGTGGCCTGGGATTATCTAGGGGCGTGGCCTCTAAGAAGGGGGCGTGGCCTAAAAGTGGGCGTGGCCTACTTCCGGGCGGGCGGCCGCTTACGCGGCCGCAGGTATATCACTCACTTCAATCAACTTGGACCTGCATCCTTTCATCCTTTACATCAACTTGTTACCTAATACCAAACAAAATTTCTCACCTCTTCCACTACAATTCAACAAAATCCCACTCGCCTACTCCATTTCCAACAAAAGTTCAGTTCGAAAACAGCTATACAAGTTCAGTAATAAATAGTAACGCCTCTAAAAGTTTCACTCAATGTCAGTTATAAAACAAAGAATAACGCCTGATTGAGAAGAAGGTCAGACTCAGAAAGGTAAAGAGGCGCATCTAGCAGCAACAAAGCTGGACGGCTCCTGGCAGCCTCTCCTCACTCAACTAGAACAGTAACAGCGAGTGTGACGGACCAAACCACACTGGTCACAATGGTAAAGCAACGCAAAAGTCCACCAAACTTTCTTATTCACGAGGCTAGCCCAGATGACACCAACAGTACTATAGCGATAGACAACCTCTCTGACAAGGAATTCAGAATGGAGCTACTCAGGATGCTTAGGGAACTAAAAGAAACAATGGAAACCAATGCCAATAAAAGACAAGAGGATTTGAAGGCAGAAATGAGGAAAATGCAATCGGAAATGTCGGACCTGAAAAACCTGGTAGCCGAATTGAAAACCTCAGTGGAAGGCCTCAGCAGCAGAGTAACAGCGGCTGAGAACAGAATCAGTGAGCTCGAAGATCAAGTTCAGAGTCTTGTCAGAAAAGAGCAGAAAATGGAAAAGAGACTCACAGTTCGAGAACAGATGGCAAGAGAAGATCGTGATGAAGCCAAGAGGGGTAACATAAGAATTATTGGAGTCCCAGAGGGACGGGAAGAAAACCTTGATGAAGAAGAAACTGTCAAAGAAATCATTGCTACAGCGTTTCCAGAGCTGAAGAAAACTTGTGACCACATCCAGGAGGCCCGAAGGGTACCGGCTAGAAGAAATCCGAATAAAAATACCCCAAGACACATCCTGATCAAAATGACCAAAACTTTAGACAGAGACAAAATTCTGAAAGCAGCAAGATCGAAGAAAGAAATCTCTTACAAAGGAGCATCCTTAAAATTCACTGCTGATTTTTCTGATGAAACCCTCAGGGCCCGAAAACAGTGGTGGGACATAGTGAAAAAACTCAATGAAATAAATGCTTCTCCAAAAATACTTTACCCAGCGAGACTCTCATTCATAATAGAAGGAACAACACACAGTTTCACGGACAAACAACAGCTCAGGAACTTCATAGACTCAAAACCATGGTTACAAATACAACTAAATGGGCTACTTTAAGGCAAGACAGACCTCTCAAATACACCAAATTTCAACAGAACAATGGGACAAAATCCCATAACAATAATCTCTCTCAATGTCAATGGGCTAAACGCACCAATTAAAAGACATAGAGTGGCAGGATGGATTAGAAAATTGAACCCAACATTCTGCTGCCTGCAAGAAACGCATCTCAATAGTCAAAGCAAACACAGACTCAGAGTCAAAGGCTGGAAAACAATCCTACAGGCAAACAGCTCCCAGAAAAAAGCTGGGGTAGCTATCCTAATATCAGACCACATCGATTTCAGAGTGAAGAAGGTCATAAGAGACAGTGAAGGCCATTTCCTATTGACCAAAGGATCTGTACAACAGGAAGAACTTACAATAATAAATGTATATGCACCTAATGAGAGACCAGCAAAGTACTTAAAACAATTACTCATAGATTTGGAAAAAGACATCGATAGCAACACAATACTAGTGGGAGACCTCAACACCGCTTTGTCACCTCTTGATAGATCAACCAGACTCAAGCTTAGCAAGGACATACTTCATCTGAGGGAAACAATGGAAGAAAGGGGCTTAGTAGATATATACAGGACACTTCATCCACAAAAAGCTCAATACACATTCTTTTCAAGCGTACATGGAACGTTCTCCAAGATAGACCACATGCTGAGCCACAAAACATGCCTCCATAAAATTAAGAAGATAGAGATTATATCAACAATCTTCTCAGACCATAATGCGCTGAAATTAGAAGTAAATCACACACAAAAACAGAAAACTAAATTAAACACATGGAAATTAAACAGTGCGCTATTAAACAACGAGTGGCTTAGAAAGGAAATTAAAGAGGAAATCAAAAGATTCCTAGAAACGAATGAAAATGAGGACACGAGTTACCAAAACCTATGGGACACAGCAAAAGCAGTCTTAAGAGGAAAATTTATAGCTCTACAAGCATTCCTCAGGAAGGAGGAGCGAGCCCACATAAATAAACTAACCTCACAGCTTAAGAACTTGGAGAAGGACCAACAAAAGGAGCACAACCCTAACAGGAGGAAGGAAATAATAAAACTCAGAGCAGAGATTAACGAGATGGAAACCCAGAAAACAATCCGAAAGATCAATGAAACCAAGAGCTGGTTCTTTGAGAAAATTAACAAAATCGATAAGCCCCTAGCAAAACTCACAAAGAAAGGGAGAGAGAAAACCCTAATAAACCGAATCAGAAATGAAAAGGGGGTCATTACAACAGAAACCACAGAAATTCAAAGGGTCCTCAGGGAGTACTTTGAAAAGCTTTATGCCACAGAACATCAAAACCTCGAGGAAATGGATAAATTCCTAGACTCCTACAGACTCCCAAGGCTGAACCAAGAAGACCTGGAATACCTGAACAGACCTATCACCATCAAGGAAATTGAAATGGTAATAAAAAGTCTCCCCAAGCACAAAAGCCCTGGCCCGGATGGATTCACCAGTGAATTCTTCCAAATCTTTAAAGAAGACTTACTCCCAATCCTCTTTAAGCTTTTCCAAGAAATTGAAATATCAAACACACTTCCGAACAGCTTCTATGAAGCAAATATCACACTGATACCAAAAGCAGACAGAGATAACACAAAGAAAGAGAACTACAGGCCGATATCCCTGATGAACACAGATGCAAAGATCCTCAACAAACTACTAGCAAATAGAATCCAACTACTCATCAAAAAGATCATACACCATGACCAAGTAGGATTCATCCCAGGGATGCAAGGATGGTTCAACATTCGGAAATCAATCAACATAATCCATCATATCAACAAAAGAAAAGATAAAAAGCATATGATCATATCAATAGATGCAGAGAAAGCATTTGACAAGATCCAGCACCCCTTTATGATGAAAACCCTAGCCAAAATGGGCATAGAGGGGACTTTCCTCAACATAGTTAAAGCCATCTACCACAAGCCTACAGCAAGCATCATCCTCAATGGGGAAAAACTGAGAGCCTTCCCTCTAAGATCAGGGACGAGACAAGGATGCCCACTCTCTCCACTGCTGTTCAATATAGTACTGGAAGTACTTGCAATAGCAATTAGGCAAGAAAAAGACATTAAGGGCATTCAGGTAGGAAAGGAAGAAATAAAGCTCTCACTATTCGCAGATGATATGATACTATACTTAGAGAACCCAATAACCTCCACCAAAAAACTCCTAGAAACAATAGACTTGTATAGTAAAGTTGCAGGTTATAAAATCAATACCCAAAAGTC